TGAGTAGTGGAGTTAAGTGAATTCTGGCGAGTTGACTTGGTTGACCTTCTCATTGACATCACATGTTTTGGTAAGGGTTGGATGCCGCTGTGCTTTATTTTTGTGCTACATTTGTGTTCTCGAGATTGATTTTTTTTAATTTTTGTTATTCATACAAAGTATTGTGTCTTGATATTTTTGAAGAGTTGTGATATCAAACGTTTAAAGCTAAAAGTAACTATCATGTTTTCCTTGAAATGAAAATGAAAATTACTTTGAAGATCTTTTCTGAGTAAACATATTCGGTGACTTATATGTACATATGTATTTCCGTATACAACAACAAAATTATACAATATGTATATAAGATCATTTGGTGAAAAGATACTTCTCAGTTTCAGATATATTCAGAAAATTTGTATACCCGAACAGGGTATATTAAGCTTGCCACCAAATTTGTAACACCCAGAAGGAAACTTCGGAGACCCTATAAAATATATACATAAATTATCAGCATGATGAGCTAAGTTGATTTAGCCATGCCCGTCTGTCTGTCTGTCTGTCTGTATATATAGGAACCATTTTTTAAGCTATCGATGAAATATCGGACCACTATAGCATATAGCTGCCATACAACCTGAACAATGGGAATCAAGTGCTTGTATAGGAAACTATTTTATTTGACGAGGTATCTTCACGAAATTAGATCGGAATCAAGTTCTTATAAAGAACCTTTGTATTTGTGAAGGGTATTATAGCTTCGGTGCAACCGAAATTAACGTTTTTTCTTGTCTTAATACGATTCTACACATCTTAAATCTTTCGGCTCGATAGGTATAATAAATCTCGAAAATGCTCAAGTATCCCTATAGGCGAAATGATCTATTGCCTTGTTTTTACTGCTTACCGCGTAGACAGTCCTTCATAGAATTTTACGAACCTATGGTTAGGTTCTAAGAAATAACAACATTAAATTAGTACCTTAGAATGAGTGGAAGCTTTGAATCGAAAAAATAAGTTGGCAACTCGACATTTTGAAGTAGTGTACTTTCAGCATAGGTAAAAGTTTGTAGGCGAAGTATTGGTCATTGTTCTTCGATAGATCTTCCTTCATTATACCTTCACCAACTAAACGTCCATGTTATTTGTTCTCTATTATAAATTCTCTATTTCTTATTTTTATTTACAATATTTATGTTTCCATATTTTAGGCACTTTAAATGAGAACCTTGGCATAATTTAATTATATATAATATGTACATATATACGTAAAAAGTTATAACGGATAAATTAAAAATGGCTCACCATATTTAGAAAAGATGGCAAAGAGCTTTCTTTTCACAGCTGTTGTTTTAAATAAATATTGATTAAAGTCAGACATAAACTCTACATTACGGCACCCTTCACAATCGGTCCACATATGTATTTCTTCCTACATACTCGCCTTTGTATACAGATATGCTTGAGATCATAGAAGTGTGTATGGTTTTCGAATGCAAGTTTCCTCCAGTGCAGCGAGCTGCCGCCATCAATAATGCAGCAAAATGTAGGTCAGTGTAATAGAACCAGTCGTACCAACACTACTGCTGGACGGAGGCTGCATGCGTATGCACGACTGGCCACGACTTCCGAAAGCAGCCAGAGCACTCAGCGTCACCAGCATCGGTTGCAGCTGACAACAGTTCACTGCCTCTTTGACGGCGCGACGTGCTGTCGCTTGGTGCCGCGTTTATTTATGAGACCACTTGTTTATTACACTAGCCCTGTGCTGCCCTTCCTATCCCGCGCGCATTCTCTTTTACCCACTGCATTTTCTAAGACTGCTCAAACCCGCACCAAAAATATTTGTCGCCCGTTAAGTAATTGGCCGAACATAGTATATTTTTGTTTTTAAATAGAAAAAAAGAAAAGTGACAAGCCATCTAGTAGCCAACTAGGCGATTAGGAAATGTATTAAAAGCTTGTTTCCATTTCAGGTGGCAGTGCAAAGCGGATTCCCGGAATTCTTTCGGAGCATACTTTATGGGTTGCTGTCGCTGTGACGCGTGGGTGTTGTCAAAAATTTATTTGGATTTGTGTGGCGTTGTGTGAGGCGTGTCCCAGCCTAAGTGTAGTTATGGTCCGCACAATCCATGTTGATGGATTTATGTTTTAATTGTGCTGTTACTTTGGCGTTAATTTTTCTGTCACGATAAATTTGTAATTTTGAACATTTACTTGGAAAGTTGTTTATGTTCATATGCTATGCTTTCTCTAATTAGTTTCGATGTTGAAGTTTGGGGAAATATTTATATGACCATGTATATGTACAAAGTATGCTGATATATATATATATATGCATATTGATTTATTATTTTATTAATTACACAGCTCTACAAAAAAAACTATCTTTTTTTGTTGACCTGGATACTTTAGATAATTTCGATGGTTTCATGTGTCCAGATTAGTATTAGTATCAGAAAGTATTGATTTGCTCTTGTTTTTATGATATTTGCATTTCTTATATTTTGATCATTTTTATAGGCTTAATAGTAATACAATTTATTTATTTTTATTGATTAGGGTATGCGCATCTCATTTTCGCGCATACAAGCTTGTCTTGATCCCCAATCTCAGGCTCTTTACAGAAAATATGCGAAAAATTATGTGGAAGGTTTTAAGGTTTAGTAAAAGTCAAACTTGGACCTACAGTTTACTAAATGTCTAGTTTTACTCGAAAAAATCTCCCTTTGCGTTTCAAAAGTAATTCGCATGTGTTCAAAAGCAATGAAATTCTCAGAAATCCGCCAAATTCTCAGAAATCCGTACAATCTATTAGTGCAAGTGAAAGGCAGGGTGAAACATCTACACCAAAGTTATTTTCTCAAAATGAACTTAGTGATTTTATATGTGTAAATTTAGGAATGATAAAGCAATTTCTCAAAGCTTTGAGTGGGGAAGTATATTGTTTTAGTTACATTTTTTGAAAATTTTTCATCAAAGATACAGATTATTCAAAGTTATGACTGTTCCGGAAAGTGAAGCTTGGAAAAGTTTAGAGTTGATGGTTCAAATTTTCTTAGGTAACTATATAGCACCAAATTAGGAAGAAATTTTACAAAGTATGCTGACAAACTTTAAGATTGTAGGAGGAAATATTATTATCAAGCTAGACGATAACCGCATTCATTTGGATAAGTTTTCGGATAATTTAGATAATTATTGCGAGCAACGCAGAGATTTATATCACTAGGATCTAAAAATGATGGAAGAAAGGTATCAATGTTGATGATCGTCCCATTATAGCAGATAATTCCTAATCCTTAAAAAAGGATTGTCAACTGGAAAATTATAGCGGAAAAACTTAAAAAAAGGCGTTTAATTGACATATATGTTTTCGACATTTGTCACGCGGTATACTTCGATGCATTCTCAATTTCCAAAAAATATACTGATATTATTATATATCTGTTATTTTGTTTCATGATTTCTGATTTTTGTAACGTAAAATGAAAATTAAAATTTTAAAACAAACGAAATCTTACAAAATAACTGATAGTGTCATGAATTGTGAGCACAAATATATCCAAAATCGATTTTATATCTATGGCAACAAAGCCACTGTAGACCAGTGTTATTAGTTCTATTCTAATTTAAAATGAAGCGTCTAGCAAAGTTTAAATCCTCCTTCGAACGACTGATTAATTAACTAATAACAAAAATAATTTCCAATGGCATATATTTGCGTGTCAACAACCTCCAATTCAGCCACGAAACAGTCATATAGTGTTCCCCATTGACTGTAACATTATGGTCGACTTTTTGTTTTTAAATGAATATATACCAATGATTCCCTCTGCCTATAGAGCACACCAAACAATGAATTTTTGAGGCTTCTGGATTATCATCACTCCAAAAACGATCATTTTGTTTATTAAAAAATTTCGTCTGAAAATCCGAAGCGGTGGCCAGCTCTTTTCGGGCTCATTCACCAAGAGTGACACGCGCTTGATGGTCGTCCGGCTTCAATTTTTGCACAAGTTGAATTTCGTAGTTGCAAATCAAGATCTTTCCGAAAAATATTCCATAAAGTGGATGGGCACAGCTCCAACCGATCTTCTTCGATTCTCACTCCGATCTTCTTCGATACTAATCGATTATCTCGACCGAATATTGGACGCAGCGGGCGATGCGTTCCGGGAATCGAACCATTATTTTAGTATTAAATTTGCACGATGCACAAACATTGTTTCGGGGTAAGTCTGTTCATTATAAAATGGAAACCAAACAAAGTATTAACAGCTGTCAAAAAGGCTAACTCCGAAAAAAGTTTTGCCTCATTAAAAACCACACGCCTAAAAAACTGTTATAATAATTAAAAAACACCTTGATCAAAATATAATATTCACACGATTTTCCCCATAAATTGCTTGCCCACAGCAATTTCGTCAGCAAAAATCTACTAAGTGGACTTATGCTTTTCTCTGTTCATCACTATCGGTCAGTTTCGAAATAATTAACTAATCAGTAATAAATACTCATTATCAATTTTCCAGTGAAAATGGACATAAAGCTTAAAATCCCCATACGCTCACATGCAAGATTGGTTGTAAATGTAAATAAACTTGTAAAAAGCTGAAAAATAAAGATAAAGATATACAATGATATATACCATAGATACATGCTTTGTTCTCTCGGTACTTAGCATTAATAACGTGCTATGTCACTACATATACATATGTAAAACATCTCAATTTGCCCGATAAACAAAAATTCAAAAACGACAAAAAGTTATAAAGAGAGGAAATATTATTATCTGCTTTTAGAATTTTGTACTCTCATTTAAAGCACTGACTCCTAAAATAAGTTAACTTATGATGAATGAACAAACAAGGGATATAATGGCAAAATACCCATTGAGAGCTTTTATAGATATTTCGATCTAAAACCTTCAGACTTAATGCTTAATTTTATAGTTTCATTCCCATTTTACATCTGACACTATCTTAATGAAAGAAAATTCGAAAGTGAAGGCAATTTGGAAAACACAGAAACGCCAAATTAACTTATAATTATACTGATAGAATAAATAAAGAGAGTGTAGATGTAAGTAATATATAATATAATTTTGAAAAAACAATAAGTTGGTAGCAATAAAAAAATCATTTTTATTCAAATTATATCTACGATTAGAGTGTACCCAAAATTTGGCGAGTGACTGTATTGCATATTTACACGTTAATTTACATTCAAATACTTATGCGAGCCTTAGTGGAGGTAATACCATAGAATTGGCTGTAAACATTTCGTTGTGCGCACTCAACTACTGATAACACCTTAGCTTTTGAGTATTTGGCTAATGAGAACAGTAGGTAGATCGCGAGACAGTGTCACAATAACATAAAATTACAATGTAATTTTAATTATCCACCTTTTCCTTCTATATAGCATTCAAATGATTGAGACTCATTCATTCATTCCCCAGCATTTCTTCTTAAAAGGCGCTGGACCAGTTCGGTATGATGAAATAAGAGATATGTAAAGCATCATTGGGCTCCTTCGGCGTCGATGAAGGCATAACCTTTTTCTTCCAATCTAACTCAACCAGAGCTAATATTTTTCTTCATCTGATCTTCTTTCTGCCGGTAGGATCTTTAAACGTTCAGGCAGATAAGCTTTTCTTGCAAAAAATACTTGCAAAGTTTTGACAGTTTTTATCGGGTAATATGTTAAAATATACTTAGAGTTGTCTCAAGCTAACGACGGTATTTTGATTTCTGATGAAATTTTGATATATCATCTATCTCTATTTTATTGTAGAAAAAACTTTCTATTGTTTGTGCAATATTTTTAAGTAAAAGCACTACGTTGAACCTTGAATAAATTAGCTAGAAAAAATCGATATGTTTTCTTTCGAGATCATCAGTCAAAATCATTGACTTAAGCTCATCTAAAATTAAGAATTTCATATTTACCTGGGTCTATATTCAAGCCAATGATTCGATGTTTCAAATTCACACTTTTTATACCATATATAAAAACCAGAAGAATCCAGGCGATTTATGAATAAGCCTCAATAATAAATTTGAAATATAATGCATAGATCATATTTGGACTAAACTCGTAACACTGTGCCACGTTCCGTCTGCCAGTTACACCTGATATCAGTGTACTTTTGTTGGCTAGATAAAGCTGCCTTGCTCAACTGCTAATGGAGTACGACAATATTGAGTCATTCGCGTACAGTTACTGGAGACGTGCAGCGGACTGCAGCGAAACGCCCGACAATACAAACACAACGCATCGACGCGTACATAAAATATTTAATTTAATGTTTTGCGAGGTCGACGTGGATTATTCGCAAGTGAAAAGCGTGTAAAAATGTAAAATAAGTGAAAAATCAGTATTTGCATTAGCGCGGTAGTGATTGAACTTTGGAAAAAGCAAAAATTATATAAAGCTTGTTTTAGTATATTTTTAAAGGCGTAGTAAATTCACCAGTGTCTGTGTCACATAGAGTATATATTTTAAATACAAGAGTATTTACATACACATCTATAAATGATAAAGTTTTTTACAAAATCAAAAATGTATACCTCAGAGCTAATGGAACATATTGGTGATTACCTAAGTAACATCATACACTTGCAAGTAATGGATATGGCCAAAGGCCAAAACCAAGGTAAGTGTGGTATAAAAAGGTGTTTCAACTTTGTTAAACAACATAAGGTACCAATATACCTTTTAAATATTACCCTATGAAACTTATCAACCAAAATTAGGCAATACTCTGCGGAAAAAGAGTGAGGTTATTGTACACAAATGCGTAGTTATGAAATAGATATATATAATATAGTAAACAAAACCCTAACTGAAGTTTACAAATAAATGAACAATTTGAAACTATTGAGATATCATGAGATGAGATCAGAGATATCAAAGTAAAGATGTTTAATTCAAGGTTATACCGTAGATTACTTTGAGAATAATTTAAACTCATTTTCAAACTACTCGTAAGTAATGAAAAAGCTATACCGAATCTTTGGGGAATTTATATCAATTGCGATTAGCTGTTAGTTTTCACAAATCATCATATCGTTCGAACACACTAGTCCAAGTGGTTGATCGGTACAATATTCACATAGTTTATAACAAAAATTAAGGTATAGAGGATTACTATTTGAAAATCTTAGGTCCATAAAATTGATAGTTGTATAACATTACGGGGTTCTGAAAATCGTCAAAACAATCTGAGTTTCCCGGCTATCTCTTCAAAAATCGTTTATTTACCAAATTTGATAAGTTATTATCTATTTCCGTATTGACGTATGTAAAAACAGAGACTGTGCTGCTTTTCTCCGGCACTATAGCAACTACCATATGAATATGAAGTCCTCTACATGAGCACATTATTCAGCTTTAAGTTAAAAATACACAACAATGCATGGAACATGTAAACTCGTGACTATAATAATTAGTAGTTTAGCACTTCTAGGTTATGATAATCGATGTTATGAACCAAAAAAAATGTAACTTTAAATATACTCTTATACCTTTCTTTATTGATTTAATTTTTTGCGATCGGGAAAGTTTGTAGTTTTACTCTAAAATACCTATAAAATATTATTACTTTAAAGTTGCAGATTTGTTTCTAATACAGTTTGTCTCCTCCTGAGAAGATTTCGAGTCACTTGTCTAACTTGGCCATTGCTTTATCTGGAACGTAATTTGGATGAGGGAAGTTAATAAGAACAAATATATTTTTCTGATAAAAAAAAATACTCCACGGTCCATATATTTTCGAGTTGGTTAATTTTTTCTCTTATGTACTATATAATTTTGAGAAATGCCGAGAAACAGCATCATTATCTTTCAACAACTGCCGTTATTAGCTAAATTTTTTCTTTAACATGATGATAGGTTTTATTACATATTATTCCCGGGTTACCTGAACTGGGTATATTAAGCTTGCCAAGAAGTTTGTAACACCCAGAACACTCTATAAAATATATTTATATCTATATAAATGATCAGCGTGACCTGCTGAGCCGATATAGCCATGTCCCAACAAGTTTTTTTAAAAACGTATTTATTTGACGAGAAATATCTTCAAATTTACAATTTTACAATCTCCGAAACAATTTTTCAGGTGGGACCATTTTAGCATATAACATATAAGTAGCTGCCGAGAACTGGGGTTCAAAATAAAGTTTTGTAATCAATGCTTGGTGTCGTTATCGTGTTGAAAATTCCAAGCCAACGGTAAATTGTTCACATAGTCACCGTCTAAACTGTTCTCCAATATGTCCTTGTACTTTTCGCCGATCATTTTTCCGACTATTTTAACAATCGACCCAACGCCTGAAGACGTGAAACAACCCCACACTATCAGCGATGACCCACCATGTTTCACAGTTTTTTTAGTGTACTTTGGGTTAAGTTATTGCAAAGGGGGATCATCTTATATATTATATTCTATCATTGCAGAATATGTTGAATTTGTAATCGTCACCCCAAGCTACCAAATTCCAGAATTTATAGTCCTTCCAGAGACGGTCTTTTGCAAACACTTTTCGCTTTTCAATATTTCTTCTCGAGACATTAGGATCTCGTCTTGCTAAGCGGCCATTCAATGATTTTTTTTGCAGTGGTCTTCGTACAGTTAATTCAGTAATTAATTGAGCCCTGCTTTCTGAGGAAGTTAAAAATGGATCCGATTTACTCAGCCTAACCAAGGTCCTATCGTTGTTGTTGTTGTAACGGTTACATATTCCCCGTTTGGGTGATAAGTTCCAGTTTGGTTGTCGTCGAGGTTATCTAACGGGAGGCCTAGGAAACGAGCTGTTTCGACGGGGTCGGACCATAGGGAAAAGGGTGTTAGATAAGTGGGGTTTGTTGGACATGCAAAGAGGTGGTTAGTGTCATGCGGAGACTCATTGCACGCAGTACATGTATTTAGAATGTCGGGGTCTATTCTGGATAAGTAGGAGTCTAACTTGCTATAATATCCAGAACGAAGTTGCACGGTTTTTGCGAGGCAACTCGAGCTCTACGTCTGCTATGGGTAGTGGTTTGACTCGTAGTACGCCATTCACTGAGAGGGAGTCGGGGAAGGTGTTGATGGCTCCACTGTGAATGGCGGTCAGTGCCTGTCTGAAATTCATTGCTTCCGAAGTCCGGTCGGCGTACTGTCTTAATGTCGTCGACGTAATCAAGGAAAGACCTCTTGATGTTCCTAGGAGGCGGTTCCGCTCCAAGCAGACGACTGCAGGGGTGGTTTCTACGAAAACAACCCAGCAGAAACTGCTTGGAGAGGAGCTCATTATGTTCCTTAACCGGAAGCATACGGGCCTCACTGTCCTATCTTCAGAACGGTTGGTCTTTCTTCGCTTTTTACACAGCAAATTTTCAAAAGTCTTATATTTTCATAAAATTAAACAGCGTTATTAATTTTATCACAAGAAACCCCTAAAACGTCTACAACTTCCGAAATATTTTGATCTTTTTGAAAACATTCCCATGTGACCTTTCTTTCGCTTGAAGTTGTGTTTTTATTTTTGTCCATGGCGACGATGACTATAAATTTTGTTATAACTTAATTCATTTAATAAAAAGGAACAATATTGATGTATACTGTAACGAAAAAAATTAAATTTATGTTTTTCAAACAAAATGACTAAATTATGTGAAAATACTTAAATATGATGTAATTCCCCAAGGTTTATAGGATAACGGAACTTTTTGCTCTCGCAATATCAGGGACGTTACATAAAAAAATATACGTTTTTTTTTAATATTGTAAAAAAGTACTGAAGGACTTAATTATATGAGTACAAGTGTAAATATATATGTATATTCATATGTACGCATATAAATATATAAATTGCTAAATGCTCTACTCGTAGCCGATAAAACCTTATGAGCAAAAAAATTAACAAACTTGCAAAGTAAACTTTTAACCAAAGAAGAAAATAATAACTATATGTATTGTATATACATAATCATACATATTGTATATAAATGTAGTCATTTTAACACAACCACGTCTTGCCTTTAATACATTTGGTGAAGTCAGTTTTGGAGCACGATATCCACTATATAGTTGTTTTCGTTTTTCAAATTATATGCATCATTTTGAAATATATATACATTCATACTATATTCTACTATATAAATACGTTAACTCGATAAGTTTTGTGCCTTTATCAAAAATTTTATACTTGTTTACACATCGACTCACATTTTTTTATTTCTTCGACTTTTTTTTTCAACACAACTGATAATTTTTTCATGATAATTCTTCAATAAATTTATTTCACGGCAAAACACGTTAAATATATGTATGTTATTTGTTGTGTACCGATATGTTTAAACAATGAGTTCAAAAATACACAACTGCGGAGAGTTATATCATGCTCAAAACACGGTCTTAAATAATTGTGTGTATTTCAAAGAAGATCAGTAAATTAATTCAAAATTTATCAAACAATTGAATAGTCAACGACTTGTCTAATTAGTACTGAAATTATAATAAATTCAATGATTTTTAAACTGAAACTGTTTTCTACTTTGTTTTATGTAGTCTAAATTCTGATTAATAATTTGTATATGATTTGTGACCGATTGTTGAACATACAGAAGGTCGCGACCCAATAAGGGATAATGTTTACATATAGTAAGATAAAATAAAGAAAATTTCGATCGATTGACTACTCTACTTGCTCGCTCGTGTTATGCTCTTTTGTCGAAAAATTTAGATGTGAAAGCAAGAACAAAGTAACAAATAGAACGCAATTCTAGTACATATACTCTTACACTGAAACACAGTTGGACCTCCAAAAGCTAATTGTTTGCGATACTAAAGCGAAAACTGTATTTAATCGTAAAAATTTACGTGTTTCTTTGAAAAAACTTAAATTAACACTTTGCGTGACCAAAAAATGTAATCTATAATGAAGAAAGTCAGTATTTTTTATTACATAATTTAACTGCATTGTGTAGTGTTTATAAAAGTATAGAGCTTATTTAAACGAAAATAATAGTATTGAGGTGGTTTGAATGTAGGAACCTCTGATCTTTCGGCTAAAATGACTTAGAATTTTTCGTTAACATTTTAGCCAGCTGGTTAGGTACTGATGGTTCAAATATTTTCCGGAGCAACATTCCTTATTATGTAACTGAAAATTATAATAAAACTCTAGTTTAAATTAGCTATAATAGAAAAACAAAACTTTAAAGGTTATTTGGTTTACATCCCTTACAATAGGTCGATGTCAGGTTTTAATGGATATTATACATCACTACGGCGGAACCCAGATGATTTGTACGAGTTGAAGTATCCGGAACACGGCGATATTAAAGAGTGTTTTTTAGACATGTGGTTTTCAAGAAGAAATAAAACGCGGATAATATAATGATATGGTATAGAATGCAGATTTATTATAAAGATAAGGGTTGGCCATTGTGTTTTCAAAATGATTATGAACAAATGGGCCCACGACGCGAGTTAATGGTCTCACCAAAAGTTTCCTTCAATAAACTGAATGTTTTGCTGCCTCTATGGTATGTAGATCCGTCTTGTTAAGAGGGTCCTCCACATCAACATCCTCCAATTCAGACAATTCAAATAGTCATTAAACATAGCTCTATAGCGTTCCCCATTTACTCTAATGTTATGGCCGG